TAATTATGGATGCGTGCACCAAGCGTTGACTCAATCTGATGGAATGGGCTACCGCTTGGGGTATCGAGTCCATAGTGCGGGACACAGCAACAGTGGGACATTGGTTCCAAGGCATGATATGGGACGTGAGACAGGAACATTATTGATGGGTGACAGCGAATGATAGCAGCTGATAGGATTCGATAAGGGGAGTTAGAATGGTAAGGTCACCATACTCATAACGCAGAACACAGCATCAGCTAGGCATTAATCTCTGAAAATGATATAGAGTTGGAGATGGGGACACGGCAAATGAGGTGATAACAGCTGATAGGGGCTGATAAGGAACGTTGCAAATGCTGTTCAGTCAAATTGCTGGAGCCTTTACACTACCAACTTATAGGGTTTCAGTGATAGGGACATTGATGACGGATGACAGGATCTTATCAATCGATAAGAAACGATAAGGAAGTCATTATTATCATCTCTCTTATCACACCATACCCCCAAGTATCAATGGCTCAGTTGTGCATACTTTTGCTTCAGCCATCCCTTCCCTCATAGCCTTAGAAAAAATGAACTCACCCTACTATCCTACTATATATAATCCGCTAAGTATGTCTGTAAGTGTGTGTGTGTGTTTGTCTGTTTGTGTGTGCGTCCCGTCTGTCTGTCACGAAATCATAGCGAGCGTCGCAGAAGAGGTAGGATGACAGTTCCGAGAAGTAATGTACACGGCAGGACGGGGAACAGTTTTGGTGGGTGGCAGAAGGTGATAGCACTTGATAAGATTCGATAAGGTGCCTTAGAAGGGGAGGGTGACCGAGTCCATAAGTGCGGGAACACAGCAACAGTAAGGAAGTTGGTTCTAAGGTATGATATAGGAACGGAGACAGGAACATTATTGATGGGTGACAGGGAATGATAGCAAGCTTATAAAGATCCGTTAAGAGGCTTTAGAAGGTTAGGGTGATCGCATGTCCATAGTGCCGGGACACAGCAACCAGTGGGAACATTGTTCCAAGGCAATGATATGGGACGTGAGACAGGAACATTATTGATGGGTGACAGCGAATGATAGGCAGCTGATAGGATTCGATAAGGGGAGTTAGAATGGTAAGGTCACCTATACTCATAACGCAGAACACAGCATCAGCTAGGCATTAATCTCTGAAAATGATATAGAGTGTGGAGATGGGGACACGGGCAAAATGAGGTGATAACAGCTGATAGGGGCTGATAAGGAATGTTGCAAATGCTGTTCAGTCAAATTGCTGGAGCCTTTACACTACCAACTTATAGAGGTTTCAGTGATAGGGACAATTGATGAGATGACAGGATCTTATCAATCGATAAGAAACGATTAAGGAGTCATTATTATCATCTCTCTTATCACCATACCCCCAAGTGAAAATGAACTCATCCTACTATATAATGTCGATGTCGACGAGCGGAGGGGGGGGGATATGTAGTTCGCCCTGAAACAGGAATCTGCACGAATTGAGGAGTCGAGGAGAACCGAAAACACTTCAACGAGCGGATCGCATGCTAAATGAAAGGAAAGCGTTCGTCCGTAGGCATTCCGGTGCAGGTAATGGAAACGAAATTTGCTGTTTCCGAAATCTGCTGTTTCACTGAGCGATTCATATTGCGCTGTATTGGCTGACTACACAGACTACACATTGTATCTATCTACAGATTTATGTATTCTATGAGCGTCATGGTGCGGACTACACCGCCGCTGTAAGTCGAAGAGCGTGCTGAGTTGTGCGGGATCGTAAGCCTTGCTCTGTCTGTCACGATTCGATCACTACAGCGCCTTATGAACAGCCCACTACCGCAAAAATTCCGTTAAAATTATGGAGGTGCCTGGCGAAGCCAGGCCAGCTCGGCGAAGCCGAGCTCAAGAGAAGGAGGAGAGCACGGCGTGAGCCGTGCGATCCGACTGGTACCTATAAATTTTACGAAAACATTTGTACTTCATTTAGGAGTAGCCAGGCTTGCACCATACACCGTCAACGGTATTTCTCTCAGTACTTCAAATGAAGTTCAAGACCTGGTTTTCTCATAAATTCTGATCTCGATTTTTCACATCATATTGATGCTGTTGTCAGGAAGGCTTTCACCGCTCTCTTCGCAATATCAGAAACATTCGACTAAATGATCCCTCGGTTCTGTTGAAGCTCTATAGAGCATACGTGGTCCCCATACAACTTTAAGTTACTGAAAGGAGATTTAAGATTGCTCAGTAAGTATTGGACCTTTAGACCAAGTAGGGGCCGCATTTCTTCACTGTCATTACAATGTCCTAACTTAGGCAGGACTCAGCGATCCAAAGTTTCCAATTCACTTTTTTTCCGTGGAGCAAGGTGGCTTCAGTCGCTGCCATCAGAGCTGCAGAAGGCGTCAAGTACCTTGGCTGACATACCGACTATTGTGGGCATTCAAGATTTTTGAAAGTTTAGGGTTTGGACGGTCTCCGCTTGTGAGTATTTGTGTTGCCAACTTTGCTGATGTTCTGGTTATTTTTCTTTGTATCGCTTTGTTTTGCAACTTATCTGGTTTCACTCATAATGTAGCGCACCCGTACGTGTATGATAAATAAATAAATAAATAAGATATACTCTCACCATTCCAAATAGAGAGACCTAGTAGCGGAAGAACTCCACCAGGGAGCCTCTGGAAATGGGAATTGAGAGTCGGCTCTTCCAGAAAAGGGAACCATGGCCTCGTAGCGAGCTGGAGCGCATTCGTCGCGTACTTTGTGCTGTGAAGGTACCTCCATGCTAACAGGCGCGACTGCCATGTCCAAAGAAGGGATGCGAACATCAAGTAAACGCCAGCGTTCAAACAAGACACTGCCACACTGCAACGAAACTAAATCAAAATGCCATCGCTATTCAGATATCAGTGAAAATCCCACAATGCTTAACCTTGACTGTATTATTTCCCGCAGCAGTTTGGGAAATTCCAGGACCAGGGAGCAATGAAGGCATCCCTTAATACGTTGACGACATTCTGAGCCACCGGTGGCTCATAAGTGAGTGGCCACGTGGGACAATTTGGGCTCCGGTGGCTCATAACTTCCTCCATCTTTTTTTCGGGTTATTGCCAGCACTCTCTATCGATATCTTTTTTTGCTTTGACCTGTGAAAGATGAATGCCCAACAGGGATGAGCAAGAGAAATGTCGCTGCCTCTATGAGATATTTTGAATTAAAAATTGAAAATTTTCCAACCAGCTACTGCTGCGGCAAAAACCTTCAAAATAGTTCTTCTTGGACGGAACCTTGGCTGCAGGGACCGTGCAGGGTTTGGTTATGAACGTGATATCTTATTAGTCGTAAGCGCCATGTGGCAGCAGATCTTATTTGTCGTTGGCGCCATATGGCGCCAGTAGGCGCCATTTCGCCGCTAGCAGTCTTTTTGGCACCGAATGCAGTAACCTCCATAGCTATTTTAGGTTACTGGACATCCTTGTCATGAATATCGTTGCTTTCCAGTGTTGGCGCCACCTGGCGACAGCGATCTTTCAAACACCGACTATGGCGTGGCCGGCTATGTGTCGGTGTGGCCGTCTATGAATCAGTGTGATATGTGAAAAGCAGAGAATTAAAAAAAACCCTTAGAAACAACTTATTTCACACATTTTGGAAATCACGATCGCGCTGAAAAGTGGGCGTGATCGCAGAGGGCGGGGCATGAGATGACACCCAGTAGGGTCAAATATGATTGAAATAGCAGTCCCAACACGATTGACTTATCATTTTGCGCAACTTACATAGGGGAGACTGGAAAAACACTGGCGATACGTATCAAAGAATACCTCGCTGGCAAAAGGCGCGGTAATACGCGTACACCGCTTGGCAGGCATTTGATCGAGGAGCATGGCGGACACTTTCGATGTGAAGTGCAATATTCTGGCATTCGAGACTGAAATTTCGGCTAGAAAAGCGCTAGAGGCATTCTGGATCTCCGCGAGGAATCCTAGGATGAACAATCGAAATGAGTGTCTGTCCATCACAAATGACCTCTTGCCATTTATGCCACATTGCGAGCTGTTGATGTAAACAGTGGGATGTGCCGTTCCCATCATTGCTGTATCGGGACAGCACAATATGTCTCATTTACTAACTGCAACTAACAGTGAGTGGCATCGTTCCGCATCGTTCGTTTCTCACATTCGGGTTCTCTCGGTAGTTCTTCTAGGTTTCCGCCAAAAACGCTAGGGTGACGAGGCGTTTGGCAGTGTATAGGGTACAACATCTAAACCTTGAGCTATTTTTAGGCCTCTGAGAACGACGATCCCGCCGAAACGTCAGGCCACATTTAATAAAGTCTTCCACCTACAAACCTCTTTGGCAGAACACATTACAACTGAAAGTTCACAATGCTGCCAACATCATTGGTGGAAGGGCTTAACGGGGTGTGGCCAAACGCCCTCTTGCAACCCTGCTACCAATAACGTAGGCTGCAGCCGCCCGCCCCACTGCTTTGAATCAACTATACCCGATCACGTAACGCTCGGAAACAATTTCAAAGCAGTGATTATTTCACCAAGCAGGATAGTGAACGATATCGAAAACCATACAGTGATTGCTAGAGAGACTGCATTATAGTATCCTTTATAGGAATGACACAATCAGTAATCAATAACAAACACTTTCGAATGTAACAGAGGAGCATGTGTAGTAATTCATGGCTAAGCTTCAACAAAAAAAACGAATATGTACATAAAACCCGAAATAATATTCCTCTATAAAGAAAAATATAAAATTTGTTCACTAACAGACAACAGGAGATCCACACAACTGGAGAACTAAAGAACTAATGTCCTCAGCCAATCACTAATGCTGAACGGAAGTATAATTCAGAGAAATTGAGTTTATCTAAACAAGAACAACTTCTTGATCTGATATGCAAGTAAAAGATGCCTAAAACCTGAAGGTTAACTCACAGAACGAACTATGCGTACATGCTGCATGTGAAGGATGTGGGGCCCCTCCAGAGCCGCATTTGACCCTAGTCAAGGTATTCATCTCCCTCGTCTTCTTCATCAAGCTGAGCATTGCTTTCCGAGAGCTCCACCTGAGGAAACATATCGATGAACTAAAATATTGCAACACCTTTTGATGAGGAATCAGAATCTGCGATAGTAGACCGGGATTTCAGCCGTATCCAGGGCATGCTATCCTAAGTAAACCACAGAGGATGTATTGGGCATCTAAAAGAGGAGAGATCGTGTTGGGCTGAGAGAAAATTTCCTTCCGTTTGTTGGTTGTTCCCCTCTATTGCGGGACATCTCCCTCCTCTCCTCCTGGCCTGGCAGGCTATGAAGCAGTCCTATTTCGGACATAAACTGGAGGTGCCCACACCCCCACAGTTTGCTATCGACCGGTGTTCGATGGCAAACATCCGAGAAAAGTTGGTAAGGCTGCGTTTATACTTTGCGGCAGCGTAGCGTAGCGCTTCCAGTGTACGCCAGCGGCAGTGCCGAGGAGAGGATGCATATCGATCTAGCTTCACCAGCGGTACGCTGGCGTAGCGAGGGCACGGGAAGCATAGCTATCGGTCTAGCTTCACCAGCGTTTCTCCAGCGTTTTCCCAGCGCTTGCAGCGGCGGGGTTAGAGAGGGGCTAGAGAGCATTAAACGGAGGAGAGTACTACTGCAAGCGCTGGGAAAACGCTGGAGAAACGCTGGTGAAGCTAGACCGATAGCTATGCTTCCCGTGCCCTCGCTACGCCAGCGTGCCGCTGGTGACGCTGGTGAAGCTAGATCGATATGCATCCTCTCCTCGGCACAGCCGCTGGCGTACGCTGGAAGCGCTACGCTACGCTGCCGCAAAGTATAAACGCAGCCTAAGGCAGCGTTCAGACTTCACGACGGCAGCGCCTCGGTCTGCGTTCGGCCATCGATGCGCATGCTTTCGACTGCATCGATCGCGTCGAACGCGCGACAGAAAAGCTGCCGTCGCGAAGTCTGAACGCTGCCTAAGATGGCCGGTTGGTTGTGAAGGGGTCGAGAGAGGACGGGAGGTGAACACTTAAAGGCAGCGCCCACTTTCACTTGATGTTCCTACGCCCTTTCTGGATATCATAGCCCTCCCCACAAGGATTCAGTATGTACCAGTTTTGCATCTCAAAAGGCGAGAGGAAAGCGCCTATCGCCAGTAAAGAGTCGACCGCCCCGCCCACCTGGCGACCACGACGCCCAACTTCATTTCTAATGGTTGCCTGGTGGTGGGGTTGTTCCATTGCTGCTTCTCTCAACATCGAGTGGTGAGAGTGAGGTGAAAAGGGAAAACAGCTGACCAGGAAAGGTCAACAGGTCAGCCTGGCCATTTGCAATGAGATGCACATCGCTGTACTCACCTTTACACGCTGAACTCAGAACTGCCTTCAGAATTTGCAGAACGATTTTCTGAGCGGAGTTATTGAGGTTTTTCTTTACTGTTTTTCTTCTTACGGGCGCGCTGGCGCCGAAGCGTTATCACATGTAGCGCGACCCACAGCGCTCTTCGCGCAAAATAGGTATCATATTCGTGTTCAGGGGGTCAAATAACCCCTAGGGACGTCACCTTAGCGAAATCTGAGCTTCTGACTCAACTTCGTAAAAATGGGGTATGGATAGTCACGGCTAACTGATAGCTAACATCGATACTATGACTAGCATACTGGTGATGACTGGTCATCGCACTGAAATAACTCTTCAGTCATGTCTTTTTGCAAACAACAGTACCTGGCTTACTTGTTTGTGCCGTCTGCATGATTTCCTTCACTATCGGGAGGAAATCCCATTCCGAGACCAGTCACCGATGGTAGGTGAGTTCCAATCTGCTGCTAATTACCCATGGAATAGCCCACACTTTCCGAATGAGGTCGAAAAATCAGATTCGGCCAGAAACTTGTCCCCAGGAGTAATTCGACCCGCTGAACATGAATATGATGATATTTCATTACAAAAACCCTTGTGACACGTGTTACGAGGGGTACAAGCAGAAGCACTATTGCAGGCAGCAATGGGTCTACACTTTCGAAAAAAAAACTGATTGCAGGTTCCCTTGTAGTGATAGTTGAGAGCGACGCAGAAGAATGTAGAAGCTTTGTCGGCTATGTTCTTGGACAAATGCAAAAAAGGAACCCGCCCCAGAACCGACCCTACGACGTCCCGCCTAAAAAACCCGCTCCCTATCCGTTGCGCTCTGCTGCCACGTTTCGATTCCATACGTATATGTAAAGACGCTTCAACGTTTCCTCGCGACAGCTCGTGAAACGACCATGCGGGGATAAAACCCTTCATAACTCCGTTCAGAGAATCGTTCTGAAAATTTTGAAGACAGTTCTGTGTTCACCTTCCCAAGACGCGTACAATGGTGTGCAGCTCATTGGAAATGGCCGGGCTGACCTGTTGACCTTTCCTGGTGAGACCAACAAGTGAGAACTCGTGCAACCACTCTTCCTCTTCGCCTTAAAGCCCGCGCTCACTTGCCATCTTAGATAGTGAATTTAGGCTTCGCATAAAAAGGACAAGGTTTAGAGTTAAACAATAGTGAGGGAAAAAGCAGAAAAAAACATGCCCAATGACCTAAATAGGACCCCATTACAATCCTAGTTTGTACGTGCATACGATGGGGAAACAGCGCTTATGGACGAGCGTTCCACGTTATTGGCTCGCTGCCAGAAATAGGTGTGACGCCACGTTTGAAAGCCTGACCTTTAATATTCTTATTTTTTCAGTGAATTCATCGTTTCATTGTGTTTCTTTTTCTTTTTGAGTTTGTGTTTGCTTTTCAAATTCAAAATTTTGCTATTTTCTTCCAACATTTCGTGCACTTTTGCAATACAATACTTTTGCAGTACATTTCCAGTTTTACCACTCCGCGCGCTCAGCTGACTCAATACAACCCTACGTCCGTACAAATAACGGAACCGCTTAGATTTTCATGCTTTTCTCGTCCCACAACTTGGTTTTTCACTGAAGGGCGGCGCTTGGGAGGCGGAGTCACTGGAAAAAAGGAGGAACCACCGGACCTATTTTGCCTTATAGCGCCCCTCTCCTGCACTTTTTTGCCGCGAAAACGGTACAGGGTTGTTCGTCGCGGACTGCACTATCCTCCCGATGCCATATTTTCATCTTCGATACTTGGTCGCGGACCGTTCCTTTAAGCACGTACAACCGCTATTGGGTATGAAACTCCTTATTGGGCATTTTGCAAGTTTTCTTTTTGATTTTTCTTCACTTATAGATTTATTGCTACCTTGCTACTACTACCTGAGCCGCATACTCATCAGATTTGAACGCGGGCGCTGCCTGCAACGAAAATTGTACATAACGCAGTGCTGTCCCCTGGTCCTAACGTGGTCATAACAAGTGAGTTGAAAAGACTTACCTGCCAAGGAAGCGAGATAGCTGGCTGTTCCTGTACAGGCATCTGCTTGCCAAATTTCTCGACAAGAGGGTCAGCCACCTTAGAGACCTTCTCTGTCGGGTTTGTTGATGTTGTTTCACTCTGATCCTCAATGGTTTGACGTTTTTGCTCCTTAAATGCTTACTTTTGCACAGTACACCGAAAAGAAGCGAAGAAAAGGTACTCTAGAGAAGACAAACTTGAAGGCAGTGGTCATAACAAGATGATAGCGGCCAAATATGTCCAATAAAGGAGTAAATCTTTGCCAGTGATTAATCCCTTTGTGGGATGCGGCACACATTCTACCTCTATTCAAAATTGTAATAGCTTAATAGATGCAACGGGCTTACGGAATACTTGCAGGAGGCCAGGCGACGTACATATCAGTGCTATTATCCTCCCAGACGAATCTGGTACCAACTGCCGTCCTCGGAAGATAGAAGGCTCAATACAGTCTGGACGGGAGTCGATCCGGGATTCGAGCCTAGGATCGCGTGAATGGTAAGCGTGCCACTTGCCGTTACACCACCCCTCAAATATGCATAGAAAGGTGAATGAGGTTCCAGAGTTGACAAGGATGGGTGGACCTTTCGGCGCAAGATGCAACACTTTTGAGATCTAATAACGTCGAAATTAGACCTCAAAATTATGTGATCACGCCTCGAGCACCCTAGGACGAAACAGCGAGGTTCTACCACTCCTTTTTACGCAAAAGAAGGCTACCTGCCGGTTTTCTGAATGGCGGCGGTTGCTAGCATATCACAAGAATGCTGAGTTATGGGCAAAAGCCCCAGCCGGGAGTCGAACCCGCACCTCACGCTTTCCGGTTGAGTGCGCCATCCGTTACGCAGCAAAGTTACGCAGCGAAGTAACGCATAGCACACTTGCCCGAAATGCGTGACGTGCGAGTTGGACTCCCACTTGGGGCATGACTTTTGTCCATAGCTCAGCATTCTTGGGATAACTTTCGGAATGCGAATTGCGGCGTAAAACAGCAGTCATCATCATGAAGCTAGCACTAGCATTTCGTGTAGAAGGCAGGCTTCAATATACACTTTGTTCTTGAAGCCGCACCGTTCTGAGCGCAAAGTATCGTAAACGTGACTCCCAGCTCTTCACGTTTTTAGCGGGAGTACAAAGACTCAAATAGATCTTGTACTCATAGGCATGGCTACAAAGGACTCGTGTCAGAAGCTAAGGTAGTACCGGTAGTAAGGTAGTACGAAACGGTTGCCACGCAGCACCGCCCACTTATTTGCACGCTCAGACTCGTAGCTCCTACACCGAAGCAGGCAGAACGGTGTGTCTCTGAAGGAATTAAGTGGTGGCCTGAAGGAGCGGGAGGTAGCAGTGATTTCTCGAATTCGACTACCAAAAATTACAACTGTTGAACAGACATGGAACAAAGTCTTTAATTCTACAATCCAGGCCGCCCGCTCCCAACTAAACCCAGACAGCGGAGGATTGACAAAGAAGCATGGCTTTGGACGAACGTCAAAGCGAAGTTCAAAGAAAAGAACGAGCTCTATCACGCGTTCTCGAGCACAAGTCGGCTGACAAATGTCGGCAGTGGGAGGCGAGGAATGCGGCAAAGAAGGTCGTAGCTGCTGTAAAGGGCCGCTTACTTGAACAATATTAGCAAGGAGCTGGAGACGCGCGACGGTGAGCGCTACCTGTACGGACTTGCCAAATCTCGCAATCCCAAACCGAAGACATTAAGAAGTTTTCTGGCATAAATGATGAGAATGGCCATCTTCTGATGGAGCGAAGAGCTTTGGACTCAGGCTGAACCTCTACTCAGGTTGAACCTCAGTACCTGACAACCGATCCATATGAGCCCGGCTCCAGTAAGAGTGATGACACGGTGCTCAAGCGCGCAGAAACATCCAAATATCTCGGATCAGCAGCTGCGTCCAAACTCAGAAGTGAGCGCACGAGTGAGTGCGGCATGGTCTAAATGGTGAACCATGTCTGGGATACTTGAGGCAAGGAAATGCCAGAGCGTTTCATGTCAAAGATCTACCGTACTGTTGTCCGACCTGTAGCGATATATGGTAGAGAATGCTGGCCCGCGACCAACGAAGTTGAAGTTCGCCTCGGTGTGATGGGGATGAAGATGGTGTGCTGGACGGTGGGCGTCATGCGATCGGACTGCATTTGTAACGATGTCGTGCGCAAGAAGTATGGTGTAGCCCCCATAGCAGAGAAATTGCGTGAAACGCGCCTTCGATGGTACGGGCACGTACTTCGCGCGAAGACTGACACTGACATAAAACTGTTCTCAACTTGTGGTACTTGAAAAGCGGCCAAAAGGGGGTTCCAAACAGCGGTGGCTCGACCGCTGCATGGCGACTTGAAAGTAGCCGATCAGGCATTCAATCGGGAAAAGTGGCGTAGTTTTATCAAAAAAGCCGAGGACACCGCCAGCGGGAGGGACAAACGTTGAAGAAGAACAAGAGAAGAATAAGATTTTCTTGTACAACGCCTAATTCGATAATCCGGCGTTGATTTTGATCATTTAGGCTTCTCCAAGTTTCTCTACATTTCGTCCAGTCCACCCTTAACCAACACTTTCTTCAGTTCGTACATGTTAACTAAAGTCGATGATTAGTTTGATGATTAAAAATGAGAAACTGATACATTTTTCATAAGAGTAAACTGATCCAAATGCTCATTATCTCGACTGAAACTCCGATTGAGACTCAAAACCAGTAGGCAGAACTAAGTTCTCTTCTCGAGGTCTGGGTGAGTCTCCATATTTTTTTACTGCCGGACCAATAAGCATATCTTTAATTTTTTTTCTGGTAACGAGTCCTCGCGCCCACTGCTTTCAAAGGTAATAACTTCATGAAACACTCTTAACCAATTATCGAAAAAAGAAAACGTACAGCTGCTTTCTGAAGGTCAGTAAGAGTAGCACCGTCGGAAGAAATTTTTTCTTGAGCCGTTCCATAATCATCATCAACGTGGACTGTCACTTTCTGAAAAAAAGTTTTTTTATCGTCTGCACTACTGAGCAAATATTTAGGGGCAAACTGCACCATTAATCGACGGGGTGTATAAGGTTAGTCCGCCTAGCAAAGTACTGTGCACCTGACCAGGCGCTGCGAGGGGCCTCCCCGACAGCCGCGAAAGTGCGACAACGTTTGAGATTGGACCGGAATACTACTGCTAGGGAGAGATTCTACCGTGTGTTTTTGACTTCTTGCCGCTGACTCGGAGAATCAAGGCTTCCGTTAAAGACAGTGCCTGCTTTCGGCTTTTTCATAGAAAAAATCTGAAATTGACCCTACCTCCGTGAGCAGGTGAACTGCTTCGCATAGACTGCGATTGCACCCTTTCCGCGGCGCAAGCGAGCCAACAGGACCACCTTTCTACCCAACGATAGTACTCCCTTCACGCTAGACCCTTCTGCAAGCCCCATCCCTACAGCCACGTCACTTCCGTCAAAAAACATTCAAACAAATCGTTCCGGACCACGTGACACACATAGTGTGTCATGCATTTGTCTCTATGCGTTGTTCTCAGTTACAAAAAACACATCCTCATAAGGGAAAGAGGGAATTACTGATGAACTACTGATGAAAAATGATGAAATGTTCCGGAGATGCGCGCAGTACGGGGGTGCGCAATGGTCAAGTGCTCGCCGTGATTGAGCTCGAAGCCTTCGGCACTTCATTACCGAGATGCTGACTCGCGAGTGTCGGACTCAATGCTTCACGCGCTTTGATAAGCTTTCAAGATAGGCTTACCGATGCAATACTTGTTTATAAGAAGTTTGGAGGTATTATAGAGAGAAAGGTTGTACGTGGGTCTGTATGTAGAAATAGGAATTTTATGTATAAATTGAAGAAACGCCGATAAAGCGTTTAGAAATTGTTGGGTTTTTAGCTTGTTTTACTTCTTCGAGTACTGCAGTTACTGCAGTAGGTTCGAAATGTGCATACTGAAGAACCGTGGCTAGTCACGAAATCTGCAAAGTCGAATCACTCACTTCTCCTCGCAGATCTTCTTCAGTAAGCGGGTAATCGCAGTTATAAGTGTTCTTCTTGCCACCCTTCTGGACAGTCTGCAAGATTACTTAAATAGGTTTACGATAAAAATAAATATTCGATATTTATTCAAAATTCTGCGGAACCTTCACGTTGCCAATCCATATAGTATTGGGATCGAGCACTTCGAAGAAGGGCTGCAGGTTATGGTGACAATTCTCAGAATCCTACAAAAAGAATACTACCGCTCAAATCATATATGCTGTTCACACTTTAAAACCAGGCCCTTTATTTTCCACACTGAATTTAGACTTTCCAAATCAAACTTCGCACACTCTCTACATAGAGCAGTTGGTCAGACATCACACGGACTCTGCGAGCTCCTCCCCTACAACCGCGCCCACTTTTCAGGGATCACAACTTCTCAAATTTTATTTTATTCCTTCTGCTTCCATGATTTTTTTTTTGCAATTTTGCCATTTTGCACACGTATGGCTCACCATTTTTAAAATTTGCTGGAAAATCCCAACCTAGCAGGCTAGATCTCCAGTTAGCAGGTTAAAAGTCTTTAAGAAAAAACCAGGCGAGTCTGCCGAGTCGCGAGATAAGAAAAAACCAGGCAAGTCTGCCGAGTCGCGAGACTCGACTTGCTGATACAGATTATGATCCGCTTAGTTATGGCATTTTTCAGATTTGGGACTTTCGCGGAGAGGGTGGAGCTATTAGTTGCTTAAAAACCCGGAAAATTTGAAAGATCAGAATCCTGCAAGGAACGAGTGGTTGGTCGTTCGATGCCCCGCGGTGGAAAAATAAAAGTCCTGAGACTGTGGGTACCTGGGTAAGTCCGCTGAATCATGAACCTCCGTGTTTTTTTTTCACTGCTTACCGTGGAAGGTCTGGAGGACCCCCAACCTTTTCCTTATATCAAGAAGAATACCTTGTAGTCGTAAAACAGACTGAACGGTAACAACACTGGATGAGATCTCCATGAAGATTCGTTCAATCGTCGTATGAGTGACAGCGTTTGTTCGCACAACTTCCGCTTTGTACCCTTCTTAAATGAGAACGAAAACATTCGATAATGTTCAAGATGTCGTATGTGCATATGAACTTATACCAATAATGCAGTAATGCGAACCAAAAGTTCTGAGATTAGGTTGGACCCAAAGTCCTGCATCACTTTGACCGCTATCCTTTGAAGGCACAGGGAAAACGACAAGCTGACCGTTATGGTGCTCATGAACCATGATATGCTGGGTAACGCCCCTGTGAAGCAAACAGCAGAAGAAGTCGCCCGGACTCGCACGACGTCAAGAATGTGTGGGGCCGTCCTGAATACAACTCCATTCCCTCATGTTGGGCCATAAAGTGGTGAGGATGTTAATGTAGTTACGAGAAATGCAAGTTAGATACCGCATTCCTACGAGAACATAGGTAGACACTTTTCGAGACCATAATTCGACATCAGCTAATTGTAAGCTCTGGAACCATACTGGGGCGATACCAACTAGCATCACACCATGTTTGAGGTAGTTTTCGAGGTTTGATGAAAATCTAAAACTGGGATGAAAATTCATCTCCTACAGTGATTTACTCCCTGAACACCAATACCTTACTCGCTTTGCACGAAAACGCGTGTGGAGTGCAGTACCTTTCTCCAAGCCAAGCTTCCTCTAACGGCGTGGGATTCCCAAACCACAGCAACTGATCTCAAATTCAACGAGCCCGCTTCAAGTGTTTCCGAAAACAAAAGCAGAAGGCAAAAGTGCTCGTTCATCAAGCATTTGATCGGGCGACCAGGTGCTTGCTAGGCGGAAATTCCAACGAGCTACTTGGTTCAAGAAGGATTTTACTCATCCCGTTACGGACCACCGTCGTAGGTATATTCATCTTATTTCTTCGTTCTCTTCACTAATCAGTACAAGTGATATCCAGTAAGTTTACTAATCAAAAAGCATATCATTGATATCGTCACAGTCAGACAGAGCCGAAACGAGCTTGCCTCCTACTCCTGTATGTACCACTACTGGTCGGCTAGTGATTGATTTATGAAGAAAATAACCAACGGTGAAAACGCCTCGGATGGGCTAATTTCAGCTTCCTGACACCACGACTGATTACGACAATCAACTGCAATGAGTGGAACGGCGAAGCTCTTCTTTTCTTTGAATTTTATTGGGTGACAACGTTTCGGGCATAAGCACTTCTTCAGGTCACTCGATCTTAAATCACAGCATTTGCCCTTACAATACAGCTACAGTTACAGCACTAATAGAGCGAATATAGCAACGACCCACATTGTGTAGAAGGGATAAGGAGCACAAACTCCGACAAGCCTCTCTACTTGGCAGTATAGATAGAAATAAAAGTGGCAGGAATGGGACTATTTATAAGGGTGCGGGACAGGGGTGATCTAGAATCAGTCACGTATGTCTCCATTGTGCACGTCTTATATTGATATCAACCCCATTGCCACTTTCATCTCCTCTTTGCTGTTGATGGGTGGTTCTTGTTGCTCTAGTTCCATTGCTTCCCTGATCGTCCTTTCAACTGGATCCACCACGTTTCTGTGTAGAATGGAGATGCGTTTCTGTGTAGAATGAAGTTCCGGCGGTCTTTCTTGAGCGTGCCTACACCGCACACTAAGGCACGCTCAAGAAAGATCTCCGGAACTTCGCATCTCCATTCTACACAGAAACGTGGTGGATCCAGTTGAAAGGAAGATCAGGGAAGCAATGGAAATAAAGCAACAAGAACCACCCATTCAACAGCAAAGAGGAGATGAAAGTGGCAATGGGATTGATATCAATATAAGACGTGCACAATCCTTATTACACTCTATAAAGCAGAAACTTTGTGTGTCGGTTTGTCGGTATGTAGGTATGTATGTATGTATGTATGGATGTCGGTTTGTATGTCTGTCCGTCCGCCAAAATGGTTTACGGGATTTAAACACGTTAGTGAAAGAAGAAAACGTCCGCTAGAAAAGGAACCCATCGCTGCAGATGTATCAATCCAATGTTTTGATTGTGATAACAGCATATATAAGACAACCACTCGGTACACTCCGAGCCATTGCACGAGCTGCTGCCGTGGCAGCTGGACGTGTGCTCGTGCGGCGGCAGGAGGGGGGGGGGTGCCAGGTCGCCCTGCCTCCTTCTCCTGCATGTGCTCAGCCGGAGTGGCGAGGACGGAATGGGGCGAGGTGAGGAAGGTGGGAGTTAGTACCGAGTGACCCCCTCTCCCATCCTCACTTCCTTGGCGTACTCAGTCGGATCTGAGTCATGCAGGGGAAGGAGGCAATGGATTGAATCGGGCATACTGGGTACAGTAAGGGGATGCGTAGCGTACGCTTGGATAGGAGCAGGCGGCAAGACAGAAGGAATGGACCCCTAGCAAAACTGCAAGCTAATGCATGTCACAGCAACGAACTAGGAAGCTGTTTGGGTTGTGAATAGCTCCCCTATCTAAGCCAACCACTGTGATAGACTCTGTGCTATTGCAGGAGCTGCTCGCTTGGGAGGTGGACGTGAGCATGACCAAGGCGGTGGTAAGAACAGTGGCGGCGTAGTGTCCCTATGTTGCACCAGCTGCTCACGTGGCGGCTGCATCCACGTGAGTGGGTGCCAGTTAAATAGGGTCACTGGGATATGATGTGGTGAGGGGGATACCAGATGAGGCGAATTCGCGATTAGGAGCACATAGCGCCTGCGGCGGAAAGGCGTCTACGGTTACCATAATGAGAAGAAAAGGGATCGACCGCAATCGGAACTGAACCGATTAATGTTGCATTATCAAATTGTGAGCTTTTTGATAGTCATAACACCATCCACAACATAACACAACCATTTAGTGCACTCAGAACCATTGCACGGGCTATTCGCGTAGCAGCTGAGCGTGACCTGTAGGGTGGCTGAGCGGGGAATAGTGAGGTTAGTTTGGGGATAGGTGAGGTGAAGGGGTACTATATTGGCGCGACCGACGCTCGCCTGAACAGAAGCACGCAGCGACTGCGGAGACCGAAGCATCCATGGCTTTCATGAGATGGGGAAGAGAGTAATCGATTATCCATGACCAGATTTTGAACTTTTCATTATGGAAGTGCCCTGCGATCACATGGCGCGTTTCTACATTCATTTGATTAGAAGACAGAAGCTAAAGCAGTTGCATGAGCCTGGCGAAGCCGGGCTTAAGAAGGAGGAGAGCTCGGCGTTAGCCGGGCGATCCGACTGGTGGAGACATACGTGACTGATTCTAGATCACCCCTGTCCCGCACCCTTATAAATAGTCCCATTCCTGTCACTTTTATTTCTATCTATACTGCCAAGTAGAGAGGCTTGTCGGAGTTTATGCTCCTTCTCCCTTCTACACAATGTGGGTCGTTGCTATATTCGCTCTATTAGTGCTGTAACTGTAGCTGTATTGTAAGGGCAAATGCTGTGATTTAAGATCGAGTGACTTGAAGAAGTGCTTATGCCCGAAACGTTGTCACCTAATAAAGATTCAATGAAAAGAAGAGCTTCGCCGTTCTACTCATTACAGCAAGATTAAATACAATGAAGCTCAAGGAACCATCGATTCTGAATAATCAACTGTAAGTTCTCTGGTGTGGGTAGACAGAGGCAAGCGCGCTTACCACACGCGCGATACGGACATCAAACACCGCATGGGCTCCCGTTCAGACTAATCATGCATTCTATCCTTTAAAAGCGGTGGACTGGTTCCAGATTCGCCTGGGAAGAACACTTACTTGTACATTTGCAGATCCTGCAAATGATCGCATAGGCCACATAGCATTCACTGAGCTACCATGTTCCCCCATGGAAGATGTATCCTCAAACATATCCTGATAAACGATAAAAGCGTAATTCCAGTCTTTGATCCCGTAAAGCATTTTCTGAACTTCGGCATCGAGAGACAGCCAAAAAAGCTAAACGATTCGTAACCCACATGGTGCAGCACGTTGCTATCAAAAGGTCAATAAAATAATGATTTTAGGGATGTACTTTCGGTGATACAGGACGTTCTGTTCAACCTAAGATACGCTCGAAATCCCTGAGATGTGATAGGCTGCGCACTTCAACTAAACGTGGCCGAGGATGTGCTTTTGGGGATCTTTTCAACTGTGACACGTTGTCTCAGACTGAAATTCCCACGGGAAACCCATCCCCTGCCATGTTCAAATGCCACACCTCTTTCGCAAAGATAGGCAGTCGAGAAGAAAACCTCACGTTAGATCCACTGGCGAGCTCTCGATATCGCTTGACAACCATACGAAATCGCTGCAACAATGGTCGAATAGCTCTTGCAACATACGGAATGCGACTCTTAACAGCATGTTGAATGATTGCAAATTTGAAAAATTTTGATATCTATGAGTTCTTTTCAACTGAAGCTGTAGGTCATCATACCGCTGGTAAGCCTTTCATGTCGTCATTGCTCTTGCGCTTTTCTTTGCGGAAACGTCTCGCAACGAATTTGTTCAAGGAAGGAAGAACAAAAGCGCCGTTGAGAAGGGTGGCATAGAGCTCACGAATCGCTCTTTCAGACGCCAATCTGGGATGGAAAGTAAATATTTGAAAAACACGGAAAATAGAAAACTTTTTGAAAATATCCTTTCATATTAGGAAATGTCTAGTCACGCACTCATAAAATCATTTAATTTTCGTTTTTTATCTCGATCTTCTAGCCCCTCTGCTCTTCAATACTAGCCTTCGCCATCACCTGACTCAGACTCTGCAGCATGAGCAACGTCCCAATTGTCATCCACATCAGGAGTTTGCGTTTTAACCGTGTTCGAAAGCGCAAACTACAAGAATTGGCAGTGTCAGGAGCGCCGCACACAACACGCGCCTCGCAGACTTCCGATGAACTGTGGATGGGACTGGGATGTGCTAGCGGTGTGCAACGTGTCTGCGCCGCAACTTGCATTTCAGGCGGCGTGGAGGAATTAGCCTATCCCACGGTCCTGGATCCCCATCCCCGCGTGGGCCAGAAAACCGTTACGACTCGACAGCTGAGGGCCTGTTAGCCCCGGACAGGTGCCGGGGCGCACCTCGCAGCTGAGCGTGCGTG